TGACTTGCAAAGTTGTAATTATGGCAAAACAGCATAGCCAGTGAAGACATTAGCTGGGAATTGCAGAAGCAGTTTAAACTAAGGTTAGTATGATTCTAGCATATCCTGAAAGGGAATGGGACACTGCCAATTCTCTGTTTCTCAGAAATAACTCGACTATCTAACTATAAGGGGAGCAGATCTAATAATTCCTAAGGCACTTAGTTGTCTTTTCTGAACATCAGTTTTCCTTTGCCTTTGCAGAACTGTACAGACATTTGTCTCTCTTTTGCAGATTACAGAAGGCTTTTCTAACCTTCTGTATGATAAGGTTTCCAACCTCCAGGATGGTAAGAATTCTGACTCAGGTGTAGAAGATGATCAATCGTCGGCAAACCTTGTGTCCATGAGTTATGCAGAGGAGAGGGAATCAGAAAACAATCAAGCACCGGCAGCTTATGAAACAATCCAAGAAGAAGAAATTGAGGATCTAGACAGTGAAAAGGAAGTAAGATCCATCCTCACAAAAGACAGGAAAATGGAAGATGATGGCTACAAGGCAGTGTGGTTTAGAGAAGATGTTGTGCCAGAAGCTAAGGGTGATGTTGTGGTGATTGAAGATGACAGTGACCTAGAACAGAATGGGGTTGACAGTGAGAATGACAGTACTGCTGATGAGGATGACTACAATAACAATACTGATAGTAGCAGAGGTGACAGTGACATAACTGATAGTCCAAAAAGAGCCCAGCTCCTCAGTGTTAATCCTTCTGCCAGCCAATCTCTTGAAGGAGAAGAAGAAAATGATGCTTTGTAAAACCAACCAACCAAAGTGGCTTTTCAAAGATATTCAAAGAAGGTTGGATTTTTGGGAAAGATTTTTTTCGGCCTGGGTTCTATCCCTATTTGCTTAACAGAAGCATTAATGTGAACCAAAAGAAACTTAGTATTAGTTATGGATTTATTTTTTTTTTGCAGATGTTTATTTGCATTAGAACAGCCACTGGGGCATGTATAGTTTCCCAGATTGGGTTGGATTCCATCTTCAGTCAGCGCCAC